GGCTTATTGTTGTACAATCTAGGTACTGCGACCAACTACTCAGGAAGAGCAGCAAGATGCCCGAAGAAAACGAACTCGAGGATATGCTAACGCAAGTGGTTAGTTAGGGAGGTGGCAGTGTTAATAGATGCAGGCAGTACGCTGTTTTTGTAGATGTGACGGGAGATTTTATTGCTCAAAGGTCTTTTTTATGTTCCTGAATCTAGATCACTTCCTTTGTGTTAGATTTTTTAAAAGCAACAAACTTTTTCCGAAATGCTTTCGTGAGTGCAATGTTGGATCTTCACTTCATCTTGCTATTGTATATGCAGTAATCGCGCATGTACTTTTCAGATGGTCGTCTTCAAATACATTGAAGACAAAGACGTTTTCTCCAAATTCTACACAAAGATGTTCAGCAAAAGGTATGTCGTCCCTGGTGACTCTTTTTCTGCGCTGTGACAAAATAAACGTCAGACACTAAATAGAAAAGCAAAACTTCAAGTGAAGAATCAACATGTACGAATTTTGCTGTATTGAGCAGACAATGTTTATTCAGAAAGAAGGACATTTGCCATTAATGAATTAGGCTTTTTTTGGAATTGTTCTAGGCGTAGTCCCAACTTTGATCTTCTCTTTCGAGCAGGACATTTCCATGAATGAATTCTAGTGCTACATGGATCGGTTCCAGGTTGATATCTGAAACATCTGCGTCCGAGGAAGCAGAGGTGAGCCTGATCAACAAGTTGAAGCAGATGTGTGGATTCGAGTACACAAATCGATTGTCCAAAATGATAAACGATACTCAGATCAGTAAGGTGCGTTGGAATTCTTTTTTCAACTTTTGTTTTTACTTGTAACCATTCCATAGTAATTTTCCTGACTTTATTGAATCTAGTTGAAGTTTTCGTCAAGCTCCAAGAGTAGAGCGCTTTGGGATGCGCCGCGATCTGTGCCCTAACAGCACCGAAGCGGTATTTCTTGTCTCACAAGCTCATTTAATGACTTGCATAGGCCGTGCAACGTATAGGCCAGAGTTCACACAAACTTGGTGCCAGCCACCTAGCGCCGGCTGGATGAAGGGCTTGGATAACCTGCGTGCAAGTTCATCACCCATCCTACGCGAGTTGTAGCCTGCTACTTATCACTACCACACATCCACTCTGAGTATTTACATACATAAGTCTGCATTTTTATCTACTTGTTGCCTTGTCGTAAAATTATTTCTAATAGGTTTTGTATTCGTTTTTTACGCTATGATGCCTAGGATTCATGTGCCGAATTCCGTGACTACTTAGCAAACCGCAATGTCGACTTGGGAATCGACTTCAACATGCTTATCCTAAGGTAATTGATGTCCATATTCCTGTTATTTTCCTTGTATCGCTGATGGGTCATGTTTATATTTGGTGAACTAAAGCTGTTAATAGACTTAGATGCATCAGTATGTGCCACTTTTCCAGCTCCGGTTCATGGCCAGCGCTACCGACTCTGAAGATGCACTTACCACAAAAACTCAATGTTGCCATTGAGCAGTTCACAGCCTTTTACAATTCAAAGCACAGTGGCAGAAAGCTGACATGGGTGAGAAGAGTAGTTATTTGTTTGTTGTTGATTTGATGGTTCTTTTTCTCAAAATGGAAATTATTTTGAAACGCTCTTAAGCGAATATCTGAATACATCCCTGCAAATTATGCGAGTGAATTTGGAGATGCCTATTTATAAGGGCAGTCTGTCAAACTTTTGGGTTATAATCAATTAGGTGCTAGGTTTGCAATCTTGCTTCCATGATATCACCCGTTTAAGGGATATTCGACTCGTATTTATTTTTAAGTGCTGTTTGCTATTTATTCTCTCACCTACTTATTGATTACTTGCGCGTTCACGCTTGTACTCTTTTGAACTCTTTCCTGATTGTTTTTCAGTATCTCACCATTATACTTCGTCAATGAATTGAAGATAGCATCCTCCATATTTTTCTTTAGTTTCTCCTATGAGGTTGTTTTTGATATATATTTGCCTGTTGTAGGTGTTATCGCAATCTCGTGGCGAAATATATGCGTTTGGCTTCGGCAAGAAATATGTTTTCACGGTGAGTTCACCTCTTTATGTTGAAGCAGTTGGAGTTTGTGCAACACTCCTATTGTTTCGGTTGTAGATACCTAGCAGAAATTTTTGTCTTAGTGCTAAGATATTTTTCGATATATATCTCAGACCACAACAGCACAAATGGCAGTGCTTCTTTTGTTCAACGATTCTATGGAGTACTCGATTGGATCACTAATTTTGTCTCTAGGGATGGACAAGAAGACCCTGTCGCAAGTCTTGGTATCCCTCGTCAAGGTATTTGCGTGGAATTTTGTTTTGAGGTTCTTATATGTAAAAGGGATCCGCTCCAGATTATGAATATGTAAATATTGTTTTTCTTTTTATATTTTTCACTTCATTGATTATTATAGAATGATGTTCTGAAGAGTTCTGAAAGCCTGGACGTGTCCTCAGAGGCAAAGGATAATGTCATCATAAGTCTTAACCAGACCTATTCAAACAAAAAGATCAAGGTACAGGGCTTTTTCTGCATCGCCGGGTTTTGCTGTGTTGGTGTTCAAGTTAAATTGACCTTGCAATTTTCACATCATTCTTCCTTTAAGGTTTATCTGAATCCGATCGTACATCTGTTACCTCATTATACCACTAATTTGTTCCAGGTCGATCTATCCAAGATGGTGATGCGGACCGACACGAAGCAGGAAGACGGAAACTGTACAGAAGAATGTTGACGAAGATAGGAAAGAGCGTTATTAACGTAAGTTATGTGCTTACACGCTGCGGACCTGCTTCCAAAAAAGCTAAGATGGCACAAAAAGGAAAAGCAAATAGCACATGACTGCTATGGCCTAAGTATGGCTTAGCCACACTTAGGCCATAGCAGCCATCAGTCAGGCGATCCCAAGACAATAATAATGCATTTTGGTGCAACTGTCGTGCCACTGGCTGCCAGGGAAGGCATTGAACTTCCGAAACTTCGAATCGAGACTAGGTATGTCGATAGAGCATTGAAGGATGATTACAAATATGGAAGCTAAAACTGCATGAACCTGCCAAACAAGTTAACTTGCCAAAATTGGCTGCGTACGAGTATTGATGGATGAGGATAACTAGTAGCTACCAATCTCGTGTTACCGTGTAGTAGTGGGTATCGCTCATTATGCGCCAGGTCATGGTTTCGATACCGGCCAAAGTCCAGCTTTTTGCAATTTATGTTGCATTCACTTTTTGACATATACTCGAGCGAGGGTCTTGTCAGAGCGTGGGATCGAGTGCTTGTCACGGGTGATAGAGTTGTCGCCATGATACTGGTACATATCTCTGCTGGTCATTCCTTGTTCTCCTGCAAAGGTGGTCTCAATACTTTTCGCTAAATTCGGAGCACCAATGAATTGAAACACCGTACGTTGAACAACCCCATCTCCAGTGTACGCAACATGTGTCAATAGTAACTGTAATTGGCGGTTCATGCGAACAAATGTCAAATGATGGGAAGGAAGCTTTTACTGGGTGCATAACATTTGCAAAAAGGTGGACTTCGGCGGGTACTCAATCCATGATTTGGCGCATTATGACCAAGAGCCTTAGCACTACTCCTACGGCAACGCGAGATGTCCAGCTACTAGTTATCTTCATCCATCAATACTCATATGCAGCCAACTTTGACAGGTCACAACTTGCTTTGGCAGGTTCATTTTGCAGTTTTAGCTTCCATATTTGTAATCATCCTTCAGTGCTCTATCGATCGTACCTAGGTCTTGAATCAGAATTCCATGGAAAGTTCAATGCCTTGCCTGGTCAGTGTTTCTCACTCTTGGTTGCGTTGTTCCCTCATTTTCTCGTCGTGGTGTTTTCCGAGTGGGAGTACCGCAACTCACATTTTGTATTTTCAGTGCTTGCAGCAGCTCAAAATTTGATACTTACTGAAAAGGCTAATTTCAGGCTTGTATTGTAAGAATCATGAAGACACGGAAGAGGATTTCCCATTCTCAGTTGATGACCGAGGTTTGTTATTTGTCATATGATCTTCTTTGTGCTTTTACCCCTTTTGGCTGTTTTTTGCTCGGCTTTGTTGACATCGCTCTATTAATCTTCCTTTTTTGATGGTGTCAACGGAATAGAGCCCTCTTTGTTGGTTGCGGTTTCTTGCAGAGATGAACGAATTATAACTTAGGTTATAGTAGTCTGTTTTGATGCCAATTGTTTACCAATAATGCTTGGCTGCTTGGCTGTCACCACGTAGTACAGTTCTTGCTATTGAATTAGCTACACTTAATCCCATTTTCTGGACTTTCGGGTTTTTGAGCCTCAATAATGTACGCAACTATTGCCTGTTAGATTACTGCAATTTATTAATGCTTGTCGAGTGTTTACTCTCGAATTCATATCTTCCATGAATCCCGGATTTCAGTGAGATATGGATTAAATACTCTTGCCCTTGTTTTTTTTCAGTCAATGGTTTTTATGGCTTTTATGCATTTGAATTAGTTTTTTGTAGGTATTGCAACAACTATCAGCACGTTTCAAGCCAAGCGTCGAAATGGTGAAACGTTGCATCTCGCAGCTGATCGAAAAGGAGTATATGCGTCGTGACGAGGCGGCCAGGGAGATGTACGAGTACATGGCATAGACGGTTATGGTATTGTCTACCTCAAAGCGGTACAGTAATCAGTTCAATGTAATCAAATTCCGCCCTTCACGCTTTTGCCTATGCTTTTGCCTTCATCTTTCGTTTCGTAGGAAATTGAAGTATATTATCCGTTTATATAGGTCACAACTCTATGTCAAGATGTTTTCTAGTTTGTATTGCAAATTTCTATTAACTTGTGGGCCGAAGTTGTGACCCTGGAGCAGGAGTCGTTGCTGAATCTCGCTGGTTTTACTGATGTAGTCATTTCCTTGCGAAAACTCCAAGCAATCATTTTCGTCCATCATTCTAAGTGCAGGGTGTTAGAGTGTTCGGTAGACATCGCTTCCTGGTACTTTACTCAATATTCAACAATTCAATTTTTATAGCAGACAACTGCAGTGCAGCGGATTTTTGTAACTAGTCTATTTTGAAGCAATTAGGGTCTCTTATGTGTATGGATCGACCCCTCGGCAACAGCGCTACTGCGCGCGCCTCAGCCCATCTTTTTTATGCGCTTGTTTGAGGGTTATGAATCGTCTACTAAATCATACTGTTGGGGATTATTCGGTTCCCCATCCCAGCAACGCATATGAACAGCTTTCAGGGTTCAATCAGTGGGCCCGTATTAGCCGGTATTCTCACACATTAGCTGCATTGTTCTTTCAAAAGTGGGTATGTGTCTTTTTTGTTTGTGTGAGAGTGAGCATGTTAGTGGGAAATGAGCGAGTAGTGAGACTGAAGCGTGAATTTCGCTATTATCGAAGAAGAGCGAGAGGTGAAAGAGAGTGAGTGATTTATAGCTTTTTTTTCTCGATCGCCCTGCCACTGTGTTCCAATATTTGATAACCTATAGATGCCATCTTTCCTCTTTTTCAAGCTGTGAACCTTGTAGTAGTGTAAGTCATTCCTATTGTATTGGATTGGTTTTTTCGAAACCGATGTGCCTGGACGGTTTTCTTGCGGATACTTTGTGTGTTTACTTGACTTGTTGTCTCCTTCCCTCGATATGGTGTGAATATTAATGTGCGAAAGGTAGGCATCGATTTTCTGCTCGGTTTGATTTCCTTCGAGCGTAAGGGAATCGGTATTCTCTGAAACTCGTGGGGATTTCGATGCCATTTCGTCCCTTTGTAATTTCTTTGTGTTCTTTATCATCTTGCTCGCGCAGTCTCACAATGGTTGCTCTCGCTGCCGGTTGGCCATCTGTGTCACCGGAGGTCTGGTCTGGTGACCCGCCGCGGTCGTGTCGTCTGCTTGTATACTCAATACCCAGTCATATTGCGCATTGTCTTTTCTCCCTCTTTGAAATCGATACGGATTTCCTCTCTTAGCCATGTGATTCTCGATAGATGTTTCGTTGCACATGGTATACGTTTTTCATTACTGAGAGTGGCACTGCACAATTAATTTTTATTGTCATTGTGATGTTTAATCGAAATCACCTTGTCGCGCGTTTTCCTATTGTTTGATGTCTGATACTCGTGTGAAAATAAATTAGTTCCAATAATAGATTTTGTCTTCTTTGAGCTGCAAAGCGGATCATATTCCGTGGTATCTCTTCTTAGAATATGCTGTCCTTCTTAACATTTTGAATTAAAGAAAAAACTAGGGCAGGCACGAGAGCAAACAGAGTGAATAAAGAGTGAGATTGAGGACTCTATCCCAGTATTGGTGGAACAAAAGTTCAGGGGATGCGAACATACTTTGACAGAGAAGGGGTTCCAGCTTGCGGTTCTCGCGCTCTGGAATACTGATTGATGCCCAATTTTTAAGGTCTACTGTTTCTTCTTAAAATGCTGAAATTTTGATGCCTCTTACAGATGAATTCTGTGGCTTTCTTGCAAGCGGCCGGATAAAGCTCGCACCGTAAAGTTTCAAGGGCTTTTACCGAGCCAGAGTGACCTGAACTCCTTCTGAAGTCAGGTGGGTAGGGTTTTTTTGATGTTTCTCCGTACCAGTGACTTATTATTGACTTGTGTTGCTTTTTCCGCTAAATCTCACTGTTTCTTCAATCAATATCTGTTGGTGAATGATCACGATGGCTGCGAGTTGATGAAAGCAGCTTTTCTTGTTTTTCGAATGCATCACTATTAGTAAGCACTTACTACTAAGCAACCCTAGTGCTAGCGCTCTAAGGGCCCGCAGATTAGAAGAAGCCAATGAAAAGTACAAATTCATTCTATGTGTACAGGGTGGGGGAAACCGCGGGAACCCAGTGCGGTCGCGAAACCTTTTCGATTTTTCCAGGTTCTTACTCGTTTCTATAGTTTTCTGTTTGATTTATTTATTTATTGGAGACGTGAAGTCGCGTGAGAAAAACTCAAAGATAAAATTATTAAGCTCATGACAGACATAGCACCCAGTGACATAAAAAAAACGAAGTATGTAAAAGTAGATAAAAGCAAACTTAAGCAGTGCTGCAAACAACAAGAAGCAAACACAAACAAACAAAACTGATCAGAAACCAAGCAGGTTAATACAAGAACACACCGCGATACCCCTAAAGGATCGTTTCTGAAAAAGAGGTAATAGCTGAGCAGGGTAACTAATCTTCAGGAATAAGCCTTTTGAAAGAAGCCACTGATAGATTTAAAACGTCTTGGCAGAACAATTTATTGAAACTGGGAATCTTACGGCGAAGCTGTGATGCAGCATTGTTCGACTTGTTTGCTGTTAAGAGTCCCTTATTGAAGCGGTGGTATGGTGTCTTCTCACCCCTCAAATGGTTACTGATTAGCAGCGGAGATGTGTTCTGTCACGATATTTCCAAGTTGCGTCTCAAAGTGAACAGACAGTGCCTTGCTCTACCATTCGAATGTTTAGTGAGCTAGGAAGCCTTCCTAAGGAACTCTTCACGAATTGCTCATTGAAGAGATGCACATGAAGAAATCTAGTACTCAATGAATTGCTCCTCTAACTCAACGTTCTGCATCGAAGCATTGATGCAGACTCGAACGTGGATATTTAATATTGCTTCTCAATGAATAATGAGTTATTATTTAATCAGCTGATCAAACATATAAATTGTACGTCACAATTTTTCCCTTTCTCTCTTCTTAACGTTGCCTGTTTGGAATAGTGCGTCATCGCCGCTTTCTGTTACACTGGCGCCAACGTTCCCCGACTGTATGCCTGACTGTTTCTCCAAGTGGTGCCACTGGGAACTGCTCACTTTTGTGAACTGAGCTGGTCGCGAACATTCGAATGCAGGCGACAGGCCCTCTGACAGGCCGGCCTACGAATACCCACGTTACATCACAAATGTCATTTCGTCAGAAGTTTTTCCCAGCTTTCCGTAATTTGTGCTCACCATGTATTTGTATTGTGACGTTCGATCATTGACCTAATATTGGTCATGGTTCGCGATATTTTTGCTATTGATGAAGAGAAAATATGACAATTCTGCTGAGAAAATGCTTCAAAACTGATTGTGTTACATACACTTCGTACGCGGTTTTCCCAACCCCAAGGGTGTAGTTCTTAACTACACATGTTCGTTCTTAACCTGGTTTAGTTTAATTTTAAATTGGATGGACCCTTGTTGATCGCTTGCTGCAAACACCAGTGATTCCCCATATATCTTTGTCGGGAATCAAATTGCTGTACGAGGTCTTTTTTTTTACTTTGGTGCTGCTCTCAATTTTCTCTTTGGTTTTGGTGAATCCGTGTTTTGTCATCGAACTGGTCGTCCTTACGCTTCCACCCAACGTTACGTGCAATCCCCTTGGTGACAGTTTTCTCCACATGTGTTGATCACTGGGTTAGATGACACCTTATTGGATAGTGCGCTTTCTTCAAGTGTAGTTTGTACACAGTTTAATGCATGTGCTAGCACCAGCCTGCATTTTTTACGCATGAGTAATGCGTAGGATCGCTATACGATTAAAAAGGCATCGTAGTTGTTTCCTCTCGTCCTTTATTCATCAGTCATCTTCCATCCTCGAAGGGTCAATAGGATACTGCCAGCTTCTCAGACTGCCTTATTTGCATCTATGATGATCCCCTTCGAAACAGCACATGAATTCCCTATGGAGATCACCAGTTTGATTTCCATTGTTTTCGTTGAATTAATAGAGAGAATGCCTAAACTGTTTGGCTAGCTGCCAGCTGAGCGAGGGTCATTCTAATAACTGGACGTGAGGCATGGCAGAGCGTTTTGTTTTCTTGCAACATTTCAATTAGCTTCGTTACCGTACAAAAGCAATTGGATGGGTTGAGTTATCTCCAGCGCTCTTCATGTTTCTCATAACCTTTGTCAGTTTTTTGCTATTAAATCTTGTTATGCCATGAATGTTCTTTGAGCTTGGAAACTGCATGCTAATTCTACTTGCTTGATTTTTTGGACGTAACTAGTTTTTTTAATGATCTTCCCCATCGCATACGAGATCTGTTTCCTAGCTAACTTCATAGAAAAATCCTTAAAGCTCAATTGAGCAGATCATATTCATTGCATCTGTGCGTGAACTCTACTAACTGGCTCTTATCTGCAGCTGATTCATACTTGTACTGAAATAACCACGGCCTTTTGCGTGGCAAAATCGTCCGCGTGATTGTCTTTGTTCTTAAGATGTTTGGACTCATTTTAACTCATGCAAATTCCTATGTGTTTCCTTCACGTTTGATCTTTCGTAATCCTAAGACAGCCGATAAAAACGTCTACGGAACTTTTTTTTTGAGAAAATGGACTTCCGTTCCATTCATTGTTTTAGTTGTATGAGTTGCACCGCACGATTTCAGAATGTGGGCATATTATTCTGCGCTTTGGATATTGGTATGGATTCAACCAGCCGGCTGTCTCTTTCCGGGCGCCGTCCCCGATGATGGCGATGTTCGCCATCTTTATCCTGTCACACAAATCAATATCGGCGTAATAACCATTGCGCCCCATTGTGATTACCTTAATCTGTTCGCTGATGGTTGGAGAATATTCGACTACCGAAGAGATCACTTCGAATCTCATTATACTTGCTGAAACCAAGGACGAATGCTCGTCAGAAAATCAGATTACTTGGTAAGTCTTCTGCTGACCTTTTCCTTCTTTATTCCTTCTTTTCATAAAGGTAGTTCTTTTATTACAACACAACAGCAGGGTGACTGGAAACACACGTTTATTCACTGAAAAGAGGCAGTTCGCAGCTATTCATGCTGTTATTTATAGAAGCGTTTTTAAGGATTGCAATAACTAGTATGTCCACGTACCTAGACTGATTCCAGACGATTGCCCTGGGTGTCACGAAAGCCTTTGAGCGAGCATTACAGCTGGTTACTGTGCGCAGAATTCATTACGTCTGAATCTACAGCAATGTTTTTATTTGGAGAATGAGGGTTTGTCGCCGGAATTTGCCAAGGGAAGATTTACCTGAGATGCAAGCGTCCTATTTTAACTGGAAAGACATTGTTGCCCATTATTAGGCGCCCGAGTGCAGACTGGTCAGGACGGGAAAAGTGAGGTGGATGGTGTTCAGAGTCCTGTTGATTTTAGATTTACACTGGAACTAATTAGTGCTAATTACGGGCATAATATCGGAGACTATAGGTTTATATTCAGCCTTCTGGAAATTTCACTCATACTTTTAACCAGACGTGCGTTGCTGCTGTGTGTAGGTCACTAATTTTTTTGTGTGTTTAAAAAATTGATTGATTTTATTTGACAGCTTAGTCTGCGTAATATTTAAAAAAATATGATAAAGGTTGTAGGTGGAAGAATTCCGTGTCGTCGTTGTTTGCCTCTCTGACGGTCGTCAAGGATGAGGAGAATTGGCTGGAAGTAGGACTGAGAACTGCACGATTACGCAAAGCCGGCCGGGTTCTGCTGATGACGGGCGACACTCTTCCAATGAGGGGCACCTTGCTACAGGTATTATAGCTTCCATCTTCTATCGGTTGTGGAGCCTTGTATACAGTTGTGTGAACGTTCTTGTTTCTGTACATAACTGTATTCAACACGACGAATATTCCTCTGTTGAGAGAATGGAGTCTTCCTGTGAAGAAATTTTTTCTTCACCTTGTGCGAAAGATAATTATTATTAAGGATCTGAACTCCACCGCAGTTGTGATGAGTGCGTTGTTTTCAACAACTCTTGGCAGTGAAATATCCAACTGTGTAACAGTGAGTGACGATTACCGCGATCGAGATGTGTTAGAAAGAAGAAAGGTAGATGAAAATATCAATTTTTATCGTTATTTTATTTAATTTCGCGAGTTAATTATTGGCTCTCAACATTCAGCTGCCGTATTTTTTTCCTTTTAAGTGGTTAAGTTCTTCGGTGCTCATTTTGCATAACTCACGGTGGTTTCAGATCTCAGAAGGAGTGTTACCCATGTTGATAAACGTTGAAACGATCGATTCGTCGTATCTTACCTTCGATGCGAACAATTTACCAAATTATGGGGGCAGCGATGACCCGATTGAGGTAAGTGGAGCAGCGTTAACACTTCTGTTTACTACATATTCATTTTGTAATTTGTTCACCCTACTGAAATAGAGTCTTTTTTTGAATCTTATGCTTCATTTTAATTCCATTTAATTTTTTTTTTCGTTTCGAGCCTTGCCTTGCCTTGGAGTTAACGAGAAAGCTGTGTAAATTTCGCGTATTCCCCTCGGTTCGACGTATATCAGTTGGAAGTGCACTAGACAGAGAGTACTAAGGAATGCACTGACCTCGGGCATTAAGGTTTTTACTGAATCGGCGGAAAGAATGCAAATCGATTTGTGGATCGACAATCTGAATCGACATGGTTTCTATATCGACGAATCTCTGGAGGCGTCCGATCGCCGAAGAATAGTGAGTGTTCTTTCATTATCTGTATACCTTTTTTACTACGAGATTTTTTGTATTGCACGATTTAGTGCTCTTTTTATGACAAGAATAAGTCACTAACATAACTCAAGGTCACTTTGCAAGTCAATAGTTCATCTTGAATTAATTAAAACCGTTTGGATTCAGTCTGTTGTCAGCACTGTATTGAATCGTGCTGTTGTTTGCCGGTATAAGGTTCCTTACGTCCATTCGTGGTTGTCACGAAGATCGGCAGTATGATTCTGAACATAAGATGTTCAACAAACCACCAAAGTTGCAGTAAAGCTCAGCTAACTAATATGTAGTCAAACACGGGTAATAAATCATGCTCCCCAAACTGTTTACTCACTATTAATGCCTCCGAACTCTGGTTGTTACAGTTTTGATAGACCAACACTAATGAAGCTATTGTTGTCATAAGCGCCTGCCTCCCAACGGCGGGAAGGTGTTTAACGATTGTGTCCTGACAGAAGATATATCTTTGATTGCTTCATCGATGACCTTTTATCGACCGCTGGTTCACATCGTTGAACCGCATCCTTGTCTGTCCCATTTGAGTGCACCAGAATCGACAGCACAATCCAAGAAGTAGGTGAATGAATTACTGCTTTGTGGAGTTTCCTTTCCAATGAGATATTATAAAAGAGGTATTTGATCTCTCGAAACTTCGTATATCAAGCGGAAATTTTGCGTGACTATTGCAACAACGGTTGAGAGCAGCAATGCGATTCGTTTACTGCCTATTACTGATTATTACTGATTAATATGCATGAGACCGATGTCAGACATCACAGCAATTTACTCGATGAACTCCCAACCTCTATAACTTCAATAACGTCTTCTTGCTAGCTGAGGCCCGAAAGATCAGTGGGCACAACGCATACAATCTGGAGAAACAAGGAATAATAAAAGCAAAAGGTGATCAGCTGGCTACACCCATCAATCTCATTTGGAGTCACGCCGCGCTATTCGACCTCAATTGCACGAGAGATCCGTACTTGACTTTGGTTTTTAGGTGACTTTTCCGAACAAGTCTAGTAGCGACCACGGAGGCTGAAGCTAAGACGAAAATTTGTCCGAGATTCGATCCTCGACCCAGGCTTGTGATGGAGGCAGCACTTAACACTACCCCATCTCTTCTAGGAATAAAGCTATTTGTGATTTTTTTCGGCTTAATATCGTAATGGAAAACAGTGTTTTAAGTTTCGTTACTTGCTTGCCGATATGGTTGCTGATGGTTTTCGGGTTCCATTGGCGTCGCATTCGGTTCGTCCATGGACGCCCGAGCCACAGCTGTGGGACGTTGACAAGTACGTTGAGTTCTCTGTTTATTGTGAAAAACGTAGATGGGATAGAATGATTGAACTAGAAGGGATTCTCGATTTTTTTGACGATTCGGTTTTTTTGTGAAACTTTTTATAGATGTGGTAATGGGTAAATTATCTATTTATTTCTCAGTTGAAACTAATTGGGGAACTTTACAATGGGAGTGTTCCGAATGAAGTAAGTGTGGTTGAGGACGAATTAATAAGTTTCGGTGAATTTTACTATTACCTTTCACAGGATTTATATGATAAATTTGAAACGTCGTCCAGAGAGAAGAGCCAGGATGGAGAGGATTTTTGAGATTCTCGGTGAGTATTTTTGAATCTTGCTCAAGAGCCGTTCCTCATTTGATTTTTGCTTGCCTCACCAGTTTGATCCCTTTTTATGCTGGCAAAACCACTGTCCTTTATAGATTGCTGTGTCGGTGCCATACTGTCTAGTATTTCTATTCAGGAGTTGATGCGACGTATTGGGAAGCGACTGATGGGCAGAACCTCCCCAAGGACTACCCATATCAGATACTTCCTGGGTACATGGATCCGTTCCATAAGAGACCAATCAAAGCCGGCGAAATTGGGTGCTTTTTGAGTCATTACAGGTGTGTTTCACAGCGTTCTGTTGCTCTGCCCGTTGGGTCCTTCGTTTTCTGTTTTGCCAACGAAGCTTATAGAATAGCTTGTTTAGCTGCCAAAAGCACTAGTTCTTGTTGTTCCAGAATCTGGCAGGACGTGCTGAAGCTCGGTCTTTCACGAGTAGTGGTCTTCGAAGACGATCTTCGTTTCACGGACGGCGGCTTGGAGAGAATTAAGGAGGTGCTGGAAGATCTCGACATGTCGAGATTGGAGTGGGATCTGATCTATCTGGGCAGAAAGAAACAAGCTGATCAGGTAATTGTTCGTTCACGTTTGAATGAAAAATAGGGTGCTCGTTTAGCACGAGTGAGGCTGACTGATAAACTGAATTTACTGGACTTTTGAAAGACCCTCAATCGATGGCTATATTTCAGCTTTTTTCATATGTTGGATATCTTATATGCAATCCAACCGAATTCTTTTAGGAAGAAGTGTGGGTGCGAAATCACAGACATCTCAGCACTGTGGGGTATTCGTACTGGACCCTCGGCTACATTCTGTCAGCAGAGGGAGCGCGTCGGCTTATTGCTGCGGAACCGCTGAAGAAGCTTCTTCCTGTCGACGAGTACTTCCCTATAATGTTTAACAAGCATCCCAACAAGGTGAGTTCAGCTGGGATATTGTACCTAATTTTTTATTCTGTAGCTTAGTCTGGATGGGAATCCAGGGCCAGTCCACCTACTTGAACCGTTGTGAGAAGGGAATGTAGCACGTTTTTTTTTTCGAACCAGTCCTTTGTTACGTTGAGGATGGCAATTCCAACTACGGTGCGAATCTTTGTTCTGGGAAAACTCCAGTCAGGATGGTTAATGTACAGTTTGGCCCCTCCAACTCCTCGTGATTGAGTTCCAAAATTGACTTTGGTTTCTTAGTTAATCTATAACCGGTTTAGCTTCGCGCATCCTCGCGCGCACTTTGATCGATATTTTCAATCGATATCGATCGATAGCATGTCACCCGATGAAATTTCCAGTTTTGCTTCAACGCCAAATCAATAATATGGTTTTAGCATGTCACTCTATGAAATTTCCACTTTCACTGCAGCACCCAATCAATACTACGATTCCCAACTCATTCGAGCCCTCTGCGCAAAAACCGATATTTTCAATCGATATCGATCGATAGCATGTGACCCGATGGAATTTCGACTTTTACCACAGCA